GTTTTTCGCCTGTTACTAGCAAAAATTCAAATCCTTATATCATCGATCAAATCTCATGCTGACTCAAGAAAATTTTCAGGAAAGGCTTAAAAGGTGTCATATGTTGTTGGCCACGCCGAAAAAGTGATCCAGCAGAACACCGATACTCTGAGGTTTTTCAGACGGTTTTTGGAGAACCTTAAGCCAATGCCCAGCTCACATTCACGTTTCCGTCTTCGATTATGTTTTATGAGCTGTCCTAAGGGTTTTCTGAAAATTTTCTTGAGTCAGCATGAGAGTTGATCGAGATATAAGGATTTGAATTTTTGCTAGTAACAGGCGAAAAACCGGTTTTTCACAACAATGCCTCTGGCGAAGTTATATTCATTTCTACACGCAAACAAATGTTGCTACTATGCTCAGCGTAGTCGATTACCTATAGTCCATGGCATTTTCAGATTCCCAGAGATGTCTACTCGGAGATCGACACGTGCTCGGGGAAAGCGAGCCCTGCCTGAACGACGATAGCTAGAGAGCCGGGACTTCATAATTTTGTAGAGTAACGTCTGAACTATCTACGCATGCAAAAAAGTTACTAACATTGTATGTTAGTTTTCTGAGAACGGAGCTGGTTTTCCAAAGATTCTCCGAAAATCCGATCTCTGGAATTTTTTCAAAAGTTGTTTTCGCTTGTGAAAAGGTCTGCTCAAGCCTTGGCTATTGAACAGCGAAAATCGCAGATCTCTATCTCATTCCTATCAAAAGTTATTCAAAAAATACCCACGGCTCTTGTATTTTGGGATGGATAGTAGTAACGGCATTACATACAGCTATGTTACTTCGACAACCTATACTGAGTGCAGTAATCACAGCTCACATCGATCTGTTACTCATCAGGTAGCCTCGTCTTTGATTCTTTTAACAACAAATAACTCGTTTTTTCTTTGCATATGATCAGGATTACGTTTGTTGTACTTTTTAGTTTTATTTTTTTAAAAATAAATATTCAAGGTGTATGTATGCTGGTAAGAAAAAAATTCCATTCGTAGTCCAAAAATGATTTGTATTCTGTCTTGATTGAGTAATATTTTAATCTTATCTTGCAATTATTTCTGTCTGTGACAGAGAAATAGTCCATAATAATCTTATTCTCATTATTGAAAGGCAAGATCAGGACATTCTAATGTATATATATTTAATCATTGTTTTATTTATAATCAAATACAAAAAAGCAAAGAAAAGATACTATGCACTAAAACACAACACGAAATTTAACCATACATCAGTCTATCCTGTACCCTCAGTCATCGGTAATTATTGAGAAAAATTTATGGACTTGAGTGTCTGAAGAGTAATAGGCCTGTCAGATGAAATATTTGTCGGTATAATAACATTATTTTTGAAATGCTTGGTGATCAACCGCCTCAGAACTTTTCTTACAACACTTGACATGTACAAGTATATGTAAAATGTAGATACAAAAATGATATGATAAAATAGACGAGTGATTTGATCAAATAAATGCTCGATAGCTAATCGAATAGCATCTTTCTGTACTTTACGGGTTATATTTTGGTACATATTGTCAATACCAAATGGTATTCCAAATAAAGCCAAAATAAAAAGTTGAGGAATAAGCATACGACGAACTTGTTTTGCTAGACGATGATTATGTTTGACAAGAGTAGTTGTATGAAGATTTCGAAGGGTGCCCCATGTAAAAACCGTAATTAAAGTGATTGGACCGACAATGAAGACTATAGGTGCTAAGACATAATTATAAAATATTGCGAATGGACCATCTATCAAAATACAAACACCATTAACACTGCTGCTAACAAAAATCATCGGGAAATAGACAATTGCCCAGAAGATTACAGTACTGACAATAGCTAATCGAACAACCCGCATTGAACTCCAACGATGTCGAAAAGCCGCTTCACGACATGTGCCAGCATACTGATCAAATGCAGCCCAGCACGGATATGAAACAGCTGCTACCGTTGTTACATAAAATAAATAATTACGTTCTCGACAAGCAATATCATTTGTATTGAATACACCTAGATGAAAACCATCAACAAGTATATTCTGTAAGTAAATGAACGGAAGATGTATTGCTGTCATGATTGCGCCTGCTAATAAATAAGTTATAGTTGTATTGCGACGAAACGACTGTTGTCTTGTAAAGACAATAATGGTTAATATTGCTCCAATGATACCTAAGGTAATCATCGGTATAGCAAGAAGATAAGTGAGCCAACGGGTTACTGTATTGATTGTTGCTGCTGCAGTCGACATCTTGGTTGAATAACAGTGCAATATTTTATTCTACAGTCATTTTAGTACGACACTGTATTGACTTTTTATTCTCATAAAAAAATAATTTTGTTCACATACTTGTTATAGAGATGGGCGCTTTTGACAAGTTCATGAATAATCGTTGATATAATCAAGTAGAATTAATAATGACATCTAATATAAAAATGAAATCTATAATGTAATCAAGCAAATGCTTGATTATAGAATCTAAAGGGTAAAGAAAAAGTATGATTAGTGTTTGATTACTAGAGAAAGAAAGAGTTCAAATAGTTTTCAATTATACGAAGCATACATAATGTGTAATTATCATCAACAAGACTACAATAAACAGTAATTAGCTACCTGATATCACTTCCTTCGTTTTTCTTATTTTTTCATGTAAATATGGTTTGAAAATATTCGATTAGCTACGAGTTTGATTATAGGAAGAGGCGGATGTTGCTTTGTAGATAATTTATGAAAAAGTGATGAGTAAAAACATCAATAAGTAATTCATCCAAACTTGATGGAAAACTAATAATTAGCATCTGATCTTCTTTCTGGCTGTCTCTCAGTCACGTTTGTTATAGGTTTCCTAATACTACTTCTTTGCACAGTCTTTTGATAATTTCTAACGCAATTCATAAGAATCTTTTGCCTGTACCGAAGGATTTATTTGCGGAATATTAATCTTCTTTCATCTAATGCACTCAAACTAAGGAATAACAGAAAACTTAATACAGTAAACAAAGGCTTTAGTCTATATTCTAAAAATAAAAAAAATTATTCAAATGCTTTTGAACTGATTATAATCTTTTGACAGTTGTAATGATGGGAATATTCTCTTTGACATTAAATATAAGCAATTAAATTAGTTTTCCAGGCTCTGAAACAAACCAAAACCCTTCTTTATCAGGCGTAGCCTGCAAATTTCTGATTAAAAATAAGACATCTCGCAGCTCTACATGACTTTTCCTTGCAAAGTTATAGAGTTTACAAGAAAAGCCCTAAATTAATTTTTTCCTTATTTCTGTAGCTTCGAGCTGACAATGAACATTTAGGGCTTTTCTTGTAAATTCTATAACGTTGTAAAGAAAAGCCAAAACTGGGAGGTTTAAATACAAATGGTCACCCGAAAAGATGAAACGTCTGAAAATTATAATCAAACTATAATGATGAACAGATTTTGATTGCTGGTGATGTACAGTGGGCATTTTTTGCTAGAGCAGGCGGACTTTAGCTTTATGAGTGAAATAAAATTTCATCAACCATTTTTTTATAGGTTTTTCACGATCCTCTTTCAAATGGCATAAGAGTTGGGTTTTGAAAAAGTTTTCTAAGCACTTTTCCAGAGATCCGGTCTCTGGAAAACCCTTCAGAAAACTTTCTCAATATTTAAAAACGATGCCACTGGAAAGAGCATTGTCGAAAACCTATAAGAAACATGTTTCGAGTCGTTCAGGTTACTTTA